GTTATAATTTATTCATGTATAAATAGTTGGTACCTGTACAGCTCTTCGAAAACAATATAATGAATCTTTTCATTTTTCAACATTATTCAACATGGTATCAGAGCCTAAACCTTAAAATTTTGTGCCACCGCCGCCACCGGAGTGCCGTACTGCCGCGACTGTTTCTTCCGTTCCGACGTTTGCCTAGTGGTTCTTCTCCTAAACCAACAGCACAGCCCTAACCGGAACCTCGTCGCGAGCCTGAGGCTGAAGTCCGGTCGCTATCCGTCACCGCCGTCGCCGAAAGTCTCCACTGTTTTCTGGCCAGAGCTCCCTCCTCAGATCTCCGATCAAGACGTTGCTACCACCATTGGATTCCTCAGTACGAGACGCTTCTGACTGTGTTTTCAGTTTCTCCTTCGCCGGATACCGGCCACCGCCATCGCCGACCAGTCAGTTTGATTTCTTTTGTTGTTTATCGTTATGGCATCATCTTCCACAAATTTTACCTCTTTTCTAGCTATTACCATGGAAAAATTAGTTAGGAGTGAAAATTATGCATCTTGGGCTGCTTCTGTGAAACTTTCGTTCAAAGGCCAAGATATGTCTGACCTTCTAGACACAAATGTTGAGGACGTTCATGGTACAAAGAAAGAAGAATGGAAGAAGGTAGATGCATTATTATGCAATATGTTGTGGCAGTCAATAATTGATCCTAAACTCCACAACATCTACAAGGCGTATGATACGTGTTATGATGTTTGGAATAAAGCCAAGTCCCTTTATAATAATGATGTCCAAAGGCTTTATTCTCTAATCTCTAATATTAACTTCCGTGAGACTATTGATATGGGTATACCAGAGTTCTTGGGCCGAATCGAAGCTTTACAACAGGAGTATAATAACCTGATGTCGTATGAGAAGACTGCAGAAGGTCATGTGAAGCAATGTGATAAGTTTTTTTATGGTGTTCACCTTGGATACCCTTCGTCCTGATCTCGTTCATGTTCGAGATCATATTCTAGCTAGTCCTGATGTGCCCACCTTAACTGAAGCTGCTGCCAAAATGTTTCGGATTACCTCTGCTCCCTCAATTGAACTTATTGGGGATTCATCAGTACTAGCTTCTTGGGCTACAGATAGAGAACCTTCTAGACCATCCGGTGTTGGTGGCACTCGTCGTGGCAATCGTCCTTGTTGTGACTACTGCCACAAGGTAGGCCATACCAAAGAGCGTTGTTTCAAGTTGCATGGGAGACCTCCACGCTCTGTTAATGTGGTACAAGCTACTGGATCTGAGATTCAAACTCATGGTTCGAGTTCTAGTCCAGTTGAGATGACCCCTATGGAGTATGAAGAGTACCTCCAGTTTAAAGCATCCCGTCTGGACTCTTCCATACCTTCTCCAAATGATGGTGCCTCTTCTTTGGTTTCTCTCCCAAACCAATACTCCAAGTACTTTGATATTGGACTCAGGTGCCTCATATTATATTTCTGGTAATCTATCCATTATGCATAATGTATCTAAGTCTAAGACTTTACCCATAGTTACTTTAGCTAATGGTCATTAAACACTAGCAGTTGGTATTGGTCAGGCTTCTCCTATGTCATCATTTACCTTAGAATTTGTTTTATATGTCCCTAATAGTCCTTTCAACCTTATCTCTATGAGTAAAATTACCCGTATCTTCAATTGTTCCATAACCTTTTGTGCTGATTCAGTTGTTATGTAAGATCGCAATACGGGGAAGGTGATTGGAACCGGGCTTGAGTCACAAGGCCTCTATTACCTGCGTGGTGGTGATCTTGCTGCTTGTGCATCTACAGATTCTCCTATGCTTATTCATAGTCGTTTGGGCCATCCTAGTCTCTCCAAACTTCGACGGATGGTCCCAGGTCTTTCTATTGAGTCGTTTGAGTGAGTGTCATGCCACCTTAGAAAGCAATCACGTAAGTCTTTTCCAAGAAGAGACAATAATCGGGCTATGTCCCTCTTTGATTTAGTTCATACAGATATCTGGGGTCCATGTCATGTCAATTCTACTTTGGGTTTTCGTTATTTTGTAACTTTTATTGATGATTATTCAAGATGCACTTGGGTTTTCCTTATGAAAGATCGTTCTGAATTATTCCAGATTTCCAAAATTTTTGTGCTGAAATACAAACCCAATTTGGTAAACCCATTTGTGTTTTGCGTAGTGACAATGCTAAGGAATATCTATATAATCTTTTTCAGTCTTATATGACATCTCCTGGTATGTTACATCAAAGGTCTTGTGTTTACACACCTAAACAAAATGGGGTGGCTGAGCGTAAAAACAAGCATTTAGTAGAGATCGCTGGCACTATGTTGTTACACTCTCATGTTCATTCACATTTTGGGCTGCTACTATTCTTACTGCTTGTTACCTGATCAATTGCACGTCATCTTCTGTACTTAACAATGACACCCCATTTTCCATTGTGTATCCTTCCATTGATATTTTCCCTATTCCTCCTTGGGTTTTTGGGTGTGTTTGTTTTGTCCATGAATCATGACATGACTCTTGGGCGTTCGAAATTGGACCCTAAAGCAGTCAAATATGTTTTCTTGGGTTATTCCCGTCTTCAAAAGGGGTATCAGTGTTACTCTCCAGAGCTCAAGCGTCATTTTGTGTCTGCAGATGTCACCTTTATTGAATCTACTCCATTTTCCAGCCTTCCCCAGGTGACATAGTCTCTATTTCGGATGTTCTCCACATTCCTTATCTTGGTCCACTTCCTATTGCCCAAAAACCTAACCCTCCAGCTGCCCCGGCTCCTCCAACTACTCCTAACTGGCCTATTCAAGTCTATCATCGCCCTGCGTCTACTAAGGCTCCTGTTGACTCACATGTGTTACCCGATCCTCCGGTTGCGGTTCCACCACTTCTACTGCATTCTCTCATTGAACTCACTAAGGCACCTATTGCTATCCGGAAAGATACACGTTCTACTCATAACCTCATCGTATTTATACTTTTTTGAGTTTTCATCGTGTATATTCTCCTTACTTCTCCTTTCTCTCTTACCTTTCTTCTGTGTCTATACCTAAATCCACTCGTGAGGCTCTCTCGGATCCTGGTTGGCGCCAAGCCATGTTAACAGAAATGGAGGTGCTTCAATCTACTGGCACATGTGAGTTGGTCACCCTCCCTCTTGGAAAAATTGTTGTTGGTTGTAAGTGGGTTTATACTATGAAGGTGGGCCTTGATGGCAAGATTGATCGCCTTAAGGCACGACTGGTGGCAAAAGGCTACAGTCAAATCTTTGGTTTGGATTATACTGATAAATCATTGGGACATACACCAGTTGGATATCAATAATGTTTTTCTACATAGTGATCTTCAAGAGGATGTTTATATGGAGCAACCACCTGGGTTTTGGGGGGGGGGGGTATCTAGTTTGGTATGTAGACTTCATCATTCCTTATATGGTTTGAAGTAGTCTCCACGGGCTTGGTTTGAGAGATTTAGCTCTGTGCTGTGTAAGTTTGGTGTGACTAGAAGTGAAGTTGATCATTCTGTTTTCTATCGTCATTCTAATGGGAAATGCATATACCTTGTAGTATATGTGGATGACATTGTTATTACAGGGAGTGATCAAGAGGGCATATCTAAGTTGAAAGAGTATATCTTCAGTCGATTTCAAACCAAGGATTTGGGCAAGCTAAAATATTTTCTTGGAATTGAAGTGGCCCAATCTAGCAGTGATATTGTCATTTCTCAAAGAAAGTATGCCTTGGATATTTTAAAAGAAACTGGCATGTTGGATGGTAGACCGGTGGATAATCCAATGGATCCAAATGTTAAACTCCTACCAGGACAGGGGGAGTCATTGCATAACCGAGAACGATATAGGAGATTAATTGAAAAATTGAATTATCTCACAATCACACGACAAGATATCTCTTTTGCAGTTAGTGTGTTGAGTCAGTTTCTTGAAAATCCTTGTGATACTCATTGGGATGCTGTTGTTCGGGTTCTAAGGTATATCAAGAGAGCACCAAGACAAGGTTTACTATATGAAGATAGAGGACATGCTCAGGTTGTTGGGTATTCTGATGCAGATTGGGTTGGTTGTCCATTTGACAGGCTCTCTACTTCAGGTTATTGTGTACTCATCGGTGGTAATCTTATATCTTGGAAAAGTAAGAAGCAGGATGTTGTTGCCAGGTCCAGTGCTGAAGCTGAATACCGGGCCATATGTGACAACCAATCAGCTCTACACATCGCCTCAAATCCAGTTTATCATGAGAGAACTAAGCACATCGAGGTTGATTGTCACTTCATCAAGGAGAAAATTGTGTCAGGGTGCATCAAAACCAACTTTGTCAATTCTGCATATCAATTAGCTTATATCTTGGCAAAATCTACTAGAGCTCCTAGAGTTGGATATATTTGTAATAAGCTTGGAGCATATGATTTATACTCTCCAACTTGGGAAGGAGTGTTGAAACCCTAGGCTTATTAAGAATGAACCCATTAAGTTATAACTTATTCTTGTATAAATAGTTGATACATGTACAGCTCTTCAAAAACAAAACAATACAATAAATCTTTTCATTCTTCTACATTATTCAACAGTCCCATTTACAAAGCAGGGCTAGGCCACAATTATTCAACAGTCCCATTTACAAAGCAGGGCTAGGCCACAATAAGGCACAGAGAAAATGGAAGTAGGTAAATTTAGCTTGTAGTGGGGTGTTTATAATAATATTCAACCTAATTGATTGATTTTAGATGTTTAGGTGTACCAGTTCTTACTCTTTTAATCTCTGTGACTTGAAGCTTTATCCTCACAGTCATTAAAAAAAATGTAACAGAGAGTAGAAAGTAACATTATATATATTATTACTCAAAATGATATTTGGAGACATGAAAGCCGTATAATTTGCTCCCCCTGAGATTGGCTCACCAGTCACCATACCAATTTTGCTTCGTCAGTAATTACAAAATCTCTAAGTTAGCTTGCAAACACGCCTACATTCATAGTTCTTGGACTTGGACATCAATTGTACATAAAATCAACAATAAGCAGAGTAGTCATCACATTACTTCTTACTTACATCCACAGCTGAAAACCTCAGTGGGATGGGCTGGCTGGCTATATACAACATCCAATATTTAAAGCAAGATCGTCGCCACAGATAATATATACGTACAGGGATCCCAAAATATCTATATATCTATATATAGAGAGAGAGTTGAAAAGAACCCATGCATCCCCAAAGACACCAGTTGGATCAGTAAACCTTTGCTCTTCTCCCTCTAATGCACTACGAACCTGCGAAATACCATTGACAAATATAGTCAGATTCAGTGGCAACCAATATGTGTGTGTATATATTTGGGTTCAGGCCATCTTCAAATTTGGGTTCCGATATATATTTCTTTAACCCCCAAATGTTCCAATAAGACCGACACATGCATAGTAAAGGTACAATAATTAGCCAAATATACTCTTGCAGGCACTTTACCTATAAGAAACCTAGGATTTAAGGAAATTTTTAACATTCCTCAGCGCTGGATGCTGAAGGCAACTCTGAACTCTTCACTTCGTTAGCGTCCAATCCTTCTGCAACAGATAACATATCATCGCCTTTTGAATTTAGAGCCCTTGGATTCATCTGCTGTACCTCATCTTTCGTGTAGATGCAGATTTTGCGAACCATACCACAAAATTCTCTGTTTCGGGGGAGAGGGAAGAGATTAGGAGTAGGTATTTGACACAAGATTCACCACTACAAATAAAATTGAAATGACAACAGACAAGGAGAAAAAGGAAATTATCATTCTTCATTTATGATTTATTTACACAAAAAATGAGAAAGTTCTTACTGCCATGGATCATCTCCCACCAGCATCATATCACCCTCGTCATCAGTATACACAACGATCCAATTCTTGTTCTGAGACTTAAGTTCACCATTAAAGTCAAACAGCTGGTCCAGTTTAGTAATCAATTCATCATAGTTCTTGAACTTGGAAAGATCCACAGACCTGCCAAGGGCCGTGCCCTGTTTTTGAACCTGAGCTCATAAAACATTACACAAGCAAAGTTGTAAGAAATCTTAGAAAACGGTCAATAAAATAAAAAATAAAAATAAAACAACACTCCAAAAAGATGTTTTGAAACCTTGGTGCAACTCCTTGTTGAACCACTGTAGATTTTCCCCTCCTTGTCTCTAACACCACTGCGGAGAGTTTGAAATTGTTTCTCCTGTTCATTGCCAGTAGGCCTACTATCTAGCCCTTTAGAAACCTTTGTTTGTTCAGACCTCTGATTTAATTCAATTGCAGTGGTTTGATGAGAGTTTGTACCAACATGCATGTGACCTGACTCAATCATTGCATTTATGGGTAACATAGCAGGCTGGGTTGTAGCAGAGTCGTTAGTTATGAGGGGTATGCCAAATAGTTTGCAGTTCCCATCCTTTGGCTTCATGACCTCATGTTGTTGCATTGGTGTGGATTTAAGCATTGGCTCTCTTGAATGAGTAGGCATTTGCACATAAGACATTGGTTGATGCTGCACCAACCAGTTCCCTTGATGATTTTCATGTTTGTTACCAGGTAGTGCAGAATACTCACAACCAGCATACCTAGAGTCTCCTAGTGGTTGATAGGTGGCATCAAAACCTTCTCTGTGGTTTTTCATGCTTGAATCCATCAAATTAAGCGAAAGACCAGAAGGCACAACAGACCATTGCTTCCCAAGTAAGCTAAATTCCCCTTCTTGGTGCTGTGTTTTCTGCTTTACCAAACTAGGAGCTACTGCTGATTGATCCCCAGACTGTAAACAGAAGCCACGTGGAGAATTTATTTGTGTGCCAATACCTGATAATAGATCTGTAAACGAAGATTCAAGCCTCCCTAACGGCAACCACTTATCTGAACCATGTCGGTGTGACATAGATAGGTTGTCAATCTTTTCATCATCCAAAGGTGGTTCCCATGCCATTGGCTTCTCAGATGAATCTGACTCATTACTTTCTGCAAAAGTACCTCTCAAGGTTGGTAATTCTTGTCCTTGCAAGACCCTCGGAAGCCCAGTGGAAGGTGAAGGGTCTGCAGATATTTTGGATGAACCTATAATACAAGCATACATGAGGTTCAGTAAGCTTGAAACCAACAGAATAAAGGTGAAAAGGAGGTAAAGGACGTGATCTACCTTCTCTTGTAAGGACAGATGAATCAGGAGAAGGAAAAATGTTGGATCGATGCCTTTTTGGTCTTGGTACTGGAAGTGGATTTAGTGCAGAAGGAGAAAGAGCTGGCTCTATTTTCCAAGGTGAAACCCGGTCAGGCCTTGGAATCGTTGAAGTTTCATCCCACCGCACCTAAAGATAGCAATACAGATCACTTTAGGCATCACAAATAAAAATGTATCACCAAACGCCTCCCCTTCAAACACAAGGGTATTACCTTTAGACATCTCCATTTTGATTCTGGCCACTTGTGGGGATCACGATCTTCAATGCCAACAATAGTTCCAGTAAACCTAAAAGGACACCACATAACACTCATAATATTAGTTACTGGTCTAGAATTGATACGAAGAAAAGACACATCACCTTCAACAATGCTAACACATGTGACATACCTCTGCTCAGGAGCTTCTTCCCCTTCAAACCTCATTTTAAATCTCATTCCTATGGAGTAATTGTTTTTTAGAGACTCCATATACTGGTCATATGGAATGATAAATTCAGTTGGGCTTGTCCTGTAATATATGTATTTACTAGTTAGTGAGTATGCTTTCAGTGAGAGAGCTAAAAGGCTTTTTTTTTCATGCAATTCTTCAGAGAGCTTGACTAGGTCACAGACCTTGGTTTGTAATATACAGTGAACATAGTTTTAGTCTGAATGGCATGCCATGCTGTAGCCAGCACTCCAAGGTGCATGCTGTGACTGGAAATAACAGATGACGGAGCATTCCCCTGCTGTCTCATGGCACGTCTAACACCAACACGGAGATCCCCATTATCACCTCTGAAATAACAAATAAATAACTTAGTACTCATTTTTGTCCTTAAAACATTAAAAAATCTGAAACATAAAATAAAAATAATAAAGGTCACCAACCTTAAAAAAATGAATGCATCCCCAGCAACAAGCCTTTTTGAACTAACAAAGACACTCCAACCACTTTGAAGGAGGTGCCTCTTTGGTTGCCCTGAACAAAGTTAGCACTATTAAACTAAGCAGCATAAAAATTAACTACATCAAAAGGGCAGGCGCACAACGTTTAATGAGAAAAGGGCAAAATTGCATAAATTGTCTACTACCTCATGAACAATGTAAAATTTCAATAAATTACAATTAAAACACATATAGGTGTAAGATGAAGTTGAAATTTATTCTGGAGAAAGAAGAGGTATATATGATATATGGGCATCTTTCAGACCAAATTGATTGTAATTACCCTTTCAATCCACACAAGCTGCATTATGATTACCCTTTTCTTGATTTAATTTAATTGTCACAAACATTATAGATCATTAAGAATAATTAAGCAAGTATACCCCGGAATATGTGCTTGAAACGCCATTCACTTCCAAGCAAATCCTTGGCCACCAACTCTTGAGTTGGAGGCTGCTGAGACATATCCTGTCATAGACCAAAAATTGACTATATTTAACAAATAATCTCTTATACACAGAGAGACGCATATTGAGACTGTAGAAAATAAATCTTTCTGACCAGTGGGGGCAGGCATTCATCCGCATGTCGTCTAAGCACAGAAAACCCACCATGTGTGCTGGTGTCTGAGGCTGTAAGTGTTTTACAAAAGGAATGTACATGAAACCGTGGCTGTGGAGGGAGCATGGATTCCCTCGTCACAGCATTCTCATCTTGCTGCCAACAAATCACATGAATTATCATAAATCCTAGCCCAACACTCAAATTCAAAACTGAAGTATCTGACTTCATATGAATAAACTTACATTTGACTCAGGCATCAAAGTCACTTGGGCATATACCTCATCTGTATCTGGTTCAGCCTGAAAATTCACAAATACATGACTTTAAAATATGAAGTTCAACAGACATATCCGCAATAAGTGGGCATTTTGATAAAGTTGAATAATAAAATCCTTAAGAACAAAGCATCAGATCGATATTAACAAACATTGCCTTCAAAAGGACGTTGAAAACGCGGCATAGTATCTTCGGAGGAAGACCATACACTGGCATTTGCTGGTCAGCCACTTGATTAGTCGATGCTTCAACCTACCAAACAAACTCATTAGAATTTCGGTATTCATAAATTCAACCCAAAACAGAACAATATCAAGCTCAAAATATGGAAACATAAAATAAATTTTAAAAAACAAACAACAAATACGGGTAGATGCAAAATTAGAACAAGTATTAAGAGAACTAAAGAGAAATTTAACGAATCTGACTGACATAAATGCTTTAAAGACATGAACACAAACCTGCTCTATATGGCCTTGAGGAAAATAAAACACCAGGTCCTGTTCACGTGGCACTGTCACCAGCGGCCCAGCACAAGCCCGCCATAACTCCATGTACAACGCTGCCTCAGCGTCACCTAAACCGCACAAATTTTCCCCGACAAGTCGTAAAACAAACAAACAAATTCAGCTCAGAAATTGCAAACAGTAAACGCCATTGTTTTCGTACACGTATGGAAATATTACAGACAACAAAAAAGGCCTTACAATTACCGTTTCCGGCGCCGGCGGCACTCCGAACTCCACTACAAGCGCCGGCACGCGGTCCATCACTCGTCTCCGCGTAACCTCTGATCGAAACCTCCGAACTCACCATTTCCGTACGCTCACGAAAACTACAGATCTCTCATCTCCCGAACGCCCTCCTCCGGCGACAGAATCACGTCAATCCACCGAGAATTATCCAGATTCAACAACTTTCTCGCTCTTATTTCTCTCTCTACACAAGCTGCTGCTGCTGTGTCTGTAATCTGTATGTATATCTTTCACAGGAGAGGATGGGCTCGCAGGGACAGGACAATAGAGCGAGAGAAGTGAGAAAAGCATTTCATTTCGTTATTTCAATACGCTGCGGGGTCAAAATGGGAATAGTGGAAATTTTCAACCCCAGTCAAATTCTAACCCGTGTTGGAACCGGGAGCAGCCGGTAGCCGGTGGCGAACTCGTGAAGACTGTGTCAGGGGGGACAGGAGATTTTGACGGCGTTGGCGGTTCGACGTTTGTAGGTGTCGAAATCGCGGCATTGGTTCTGCATATGACGGCGCTTGTACTTACCGTTAGTGAGAAAGCTGTTCGGATTATACGGGTAAGTGGCCCTGTCGTGCTATTGACCGGCAGTGTAGGTTGCAATTGGCCAAACTTTACCAAGTCTACCCCAAGTCAGAAAAAAATTCTAGCCATTTTATAAATTATTCTTCAATTTAGTATTAATAAATAAAATTTATACGTTTTAATTTTACATAAAAAATTCAATCTAATATAAAATTTTAAATTTAAACATTATTACTTGTATAAGATATTAAATATAATAAGCGGACAATATTTTTGATTTGACTATTGAATAATAAATAATATATATTGTTAAGTTCTGGACTCCATGAGTACTAATAATTAATACTCATGGTTTGGCAAACTAATTGATTATACTTTTCAAACTCAACAGATTAAAACAGTTGCCGAGTAAGGAATTTGTTGTATTAAAACTTAAAATTTTACAAGTGTGGAATGTGAATACAATTTTGCAAAATTTTGGAATGTTTGAATAAGATTGTTTTTCTATTGAGTTTAAAAATTTATTGTTTATACATTAACCAACAAATTGTTGTCATCTAACTTTGACCGATAGAAAAAAAAAAGCTAGTGGTAGTTGGGTACGACTAGTGCGGGCTATATTTCTATTCTACTTCCTCTCAGTTGAGCACTTAAGCTCCCGTGTTGGTCGTTTGATGATTCAACACGTGTCCCAAGAGGCATTATTTCATCTAACTCTTCACAAATCTATTTGCTAAAAAATTAGGTCGGTGTCATTTACTCAATGAATTAGTTAATAATATTTCGATCATTGGACTTTCTCAAATATTACAACACAAAAACATATAAAAATAAAATGATAAGTGTACTATTGTATTTTCAATGAGTAAAACTCTCTTACACATTTAAATTCTAACGAAATGTCAAAATGAAAGAACAATTGTGACCCATTTTTTATTCAATTAGAGCATATCATATATTAGCATAATATAAAAAATAGAGAAAAAGTGACAATAAAAGCAAATTACTTCATATAAAATACAATAAAAAAAGTAATCAATTTATTTAAGGTAAAATAATCAATTAACTCGACATAAGCATATTTATTGCGTTTTTTGTGCATACTTCATAATATGAGACTAATCCAAGCTCGGTTCAGATTATGCACATAGAATTTGACTCTTACTTGACAAAAGATTTGGCCAATATCTCTTTATTCGGAGACACATTTTTTTAAAAAAATTACAGAATTACATCCACCAAGGTGGACATAATAATTATATTTTATTTCTAAATGTATACTTATTTTTTATTTTTACATTATTTTAAAATAAAAATAATCCAGAATACAATTTTGGTCTACCTAAAAATAGTGGACGGAAATGTTTATTTGAAATGATTTTAGAAAAAAGAAAAATAGTCACTTTTTCATTGACTTTTAGAAAAAAGTGGTATATTTTAGATGTGCATTGTGCAGTTTTTGGTAGGCGAGAATGGGCAATGGGAAATTGTGTCTTTTTCATGTGGAATGCCATATGCTTTGAAACAAATGTGCATATCATTTGATCAATATGAAAAAAGATGAAAAGTGGGAGAGAAATGTTCCATAAATATCGATAATATTTTTTTTTAGAACGATAATATCAATAACATTATGCTTTTGTTATAATTTCTTTGTTCATTTTCTTCCTTAGATGTATAACAAATATTTAATTAAAAAAAGCATCACTTATGAGTTTGAACAAAGCTTATGATAGGGTGGAGTGGTTTTTCTTTGAAATGGTTATGCTTCGGAGGGAGTTTGGGGAAAGATGGGTGCGGGTGGGGATGGAGTGTGTTATAGCGATCAGTATCAAGTTTTATTTGAATGGGGGAAGCATGGTCTGGTTTATCCTGCTAGAGGACTTCGTCAAAGGGACCCCTTATCACCTCATTTGTTCCTGGTGGTGGAAGGTCTAAGTGCTCCTTTGAGGGATAATAATAATAATAATAATAGTAATTATATTTTGTATAGCAATATTGATGTCTTTTAAAAACATATTTCATTTATATTCTTTAAACTAACTAAACATTGTAATAGCATCCCTAAAATCTATTCTTTCAGCGAACCAAACAATAGAATGCAATTAATATTATATTCTTTACCTATTTCATTTCCTATGAAATAATATTACTATTCCCTTCAAATGCATTCCGTGCAGTGAACCAAACATGTTGTTAAATTTCTTAGATTATCCTAAAAATTAACTTGAATTTGATAAAATTTACTCCATATAATAAAAGATCAAATGTGATAATGTCAACAACATTATGAAATTAAATATGATTACATTTAAAATTAAAACTAAACGTAACAATATATAATAATAATAATAATAGCTTTCAAAAAAAATATAATAATAATAATAATAATAATAATTCGTTTTCATATATAATTAATGAAGTGCACGTTAATTCCACGGAAGGTAGTTATGTCTAACTAATTAATTAACTATGCACTATAGCCCTCGTGTCATGAAATAATTGGAATAATTATCTTTTCTATATCAATATGGAAATTCGTTATTGACACTTAATGCCAAATCGTGGAAACCGGTGAATAGATAATTTAAAAACTTATAGGCAAATGTAAAATAGACTCATGTACTAACATTGATTGTTCACCTAGCATTATGAATTAAAATATAGTATATTTAGACATTATACACTTAATTATTTTTTATCTAGCATTTTTAGCAAGTTTCTAACAAGTAACTCATCTAATTTGCTTACATGAAAAAGTAAAATAAAAACAAAATGCGAACATGTTATTTTTTCATCTAACTTGTTGTTTTTGTCACTTTTTTTTTATGTAAAAAAATTCTTTTTTTTTTTTTTTACGTATTTTTGGATTATGTTAATTTTTTATATGGCTTGAAAGATTCCAACTCCTCATATGTTGCGAGTGTTGAGTGTGAAAACACGTGGGTGTATTCTAACTTCTAAGCGGAATGCATCCATGCTGTTGTTACCATAAATTTGCCCTGCAAAATGTATATTTTTATCATGGAGGGGTACCCTATTGCCTTCAAAAACATGGCCGCTTCCCTCGGAGACATATAGCAGTCTCATTTCTTCGTTGTCTATCTCTTTCGCTTCCCTACAGTAAGTTAGATGAAAAAATAACATGTCAGTATTCTTTTTTTTTTTTCATGTAAGCAAATTAGATGGGTTACTTGTTAGAAACTTGCTAAAAATGCTAGATGAAAAATAATTGAGAGTATAATGGCCTGAATGAACCATATTTTAATTCAATGTGCTAGATGAACAATCAATGTTAGTACACGGGTCTATTTGATTCATCGGCCAAACTTATATTAACTCTATGTAGTTGACTATAGATTGCAAAATATGTCATTAATCACCATTAAAACATTTATTCTCTGTATGAAAAAGTTTGCAGTTGTTATTTGAAAGTGCGTTATAGGTGAAGTCCGCTTTATTATCTTAGCCGGCAAACAAGTAGGTAATAAATCAGATTATTCATAGCTACTGGCTCAAATAAAAAAAAATAATAAATAATTCTCATAAAGTTAATTTTGAAACATTGTGATTACTAAGTTAAATTGTTAAAACATTGCAAACTTTATTTACCAAAGATAAACAATTTCCATTGGTGATCAATGAAATTGATTGGATTCTTAAGACTCAAAGGACTTGGATTTTTAAACCCCAACGAGTCTCTAAAATACTTTGTTATATATTGTTCAGAATATTCCTTATTGACGAGACAAATTCGTAATTACTATTAAAAAAATACATATACGTTGTGTAAATCACACAAAACTTGTTTTATATGTCATTAAGTCATTTATTATCTAACACAGGCACAGCCACGCATCCAACGAAATTAAAATTTACTAATAATACGTGTATTTACATATTACTTCATTCGTTTCAAAAATATTACCCACATTTTCTTTGTATAATTGCTTAAAATGTTCTTTTACTTTATCTTTGAGAATTTTTAAATACATTTATTCGTGATTGTGTTTTTTTGCAAAAATAGAAAAGTAACAAGAGTGTATTTTTATCACACAACTCTATTCTTCTTCTCTTTTTTTTTTTTTTTTTTTTTTTTTTAATTCCATTATCAAGTGATATTACTAATCAATTCTTGTCATATATATAATCATTGAGATTTGGTGTCAAAATACAAAATGTGCACTTTTTCAATGTACTTGCATTTTATGCAAACCGTCCATAAGTTACTGATACACATAAAATAAAAAATAATAATAATTGGGTGCTTAATTAGTAAAAAGTTGGAAAGGAAATAATTAATTGGGGGTATGTAATTAGTGTATATTTTTATTGTTAATTAGTATGCAGGAGAATTAAGAATTGTTATATTTGATAAGTCTTTTAGAATATTATATATTATATATTAGCTTCATTGTATCATAAATATCGATCGACAAATATATTTTTGTTTATGTTACTTTTTGTTATTTTTATTATTATTTAAGCTCTCACACGTTTAAAATGTGATCATTTATCATTTATATGCAACTTGAATACAGATATATCGTCAACAACTTGCTGGAAAGGTTTCAAATATATTACTATCCTATTAGGACCATAACAACTATCCAAATGAAGTAGTTGGTTAAATAGTTTAGCCTTACACAGTGACAACTTCATAGGAGAGTGGTTGGTTGGCCCGCCAACTTGTGTTGGGGATTTGCTCTTTGATCCATTGATTGATAGTTTATTTGGTTAATTAAAAAAAAAACGAGTA